AGATTTAGCATAGAATGGAATAGATCTGTAGGAGAAAATTCTGTTAAAGTGCCTGACTTTCGAAAAGCTGATTTTAATAGCCTAAGAAATTTATTGGGTCAAATAGATTGGAAAGTCTTGGGTATGGGGGAGTGGGCTAGACGTGAACCCAGCGACAGGTGACGGAAAAGGGGATTTCGATGTGGATTCAAAATATAACCTATTTAAAATTATTCTAAGCAAAGCCCAGGAACGTAGTATACCATATAAATTGAATAGATCGAATACTAATGATCCAAAGTGGATAACAAAGGATCTGAAGAACCTTATAGGTAAAAAGAGAGCGAAGTACAAAAGGATTAAGAATGGGGAAGTTAGTTTAGAACAGGAATTCGTACAACTGGTTAGAAATGTTAAAAAAGAGATAAGGAAAGCAAAAAGAAACTACGAAGTTCGTATAGCAGAGCAAGCAAAGTCAAATCCTAAAGGTTTTTTTTCAGTTATATCGAACTAAGACTAGGGAAAGGATAGGTCCATTAAAAACTGAGACAGGTTAAATAACGGATAATGACGAGGAGATGAGTAGTATTTTTAATAAATATTTTATATCTGTATTTACTAAAGAGGAACTTAACAATATGCCTTCAGCCGAACAAATATATGTGGGCGGGGACGAGGACAGATTGACTAGTTTAGCAGTTACCAGGGAGGATGTAATTAAACAAATAGTAAAACTCAAACCAAACAAATCCCCAGGGCCGGATGAAGTGTTTGTTAGGGTGCTTAAAGAATGCAAAGAGGAGCTTTCCGAGCCACTGTCTACCATATTTAATAAATCAATAGAGTTAGGTAGAGTGCCAGAATTATGGAAGGTAGCTAATGTGGTACCAATTTTTAAAGGAGATAGATCACTTGCGTCAAACTATCGGCCAATTAGCCTAACGTCTATTGTGGGAAAGTTACTTGAATCGATAATTGCAAATACAATTCGTCTTCATCTTGAAAAACATAAATTAATAAATGAGTCGCAACATGGTTTTACATATGGCCGTTCATTTTTTAACAAATTTGCTATCTTTTTATTCCAGCATAGTTGAGGTAGTTGATAGTGGTAAGGATTGTGATGTTGTGTACCTTGACTTTAGCAAAGCTTTTGATACAGTGCCACATGAAAGACTGATTAAAAAAATAGACTGATTAAAAAAATAGGCTAACACAACCTCAGTGAGAGGTTGTGTTAGCTGGAGCTCCGATTGTAGTAACATTATTATTGCAATAATGAAAGGATTAGGGAAAGATTTGATGAATCTAGTTGGAACTCTGAGAGCAGAGATGGATTCCCTACGAGAGGAGGTACGACAGCTGAAACTTCGGGAAGAAACGAAGGAGGAGACCAATATTAACAAGACCTCGTCGTGGAAAGTCGTTAAGGACAGGGGTCTTAAGAAGACCTTGACAAGGCCGCCTACAGACGCCCTAAGGACAGCAAATTCATTTGCCGTGTTGGAGGACTAGTGCTGTGGTGAGCCTGCAGTTCACTCAGAACGGAAATCAGCGAGGAGCGGCGGAGCGCAGGCCCCTCAGGCTGCTCAGAAAGTTAAGGAGGTACCGAAGCGAATTTTGGTTGTGGGAGATTCCCAGGTGAGGTATTTAGAACGTTTTGTGCCAGAGATAGGGGGAACAGATTAAGGGTTTGCTATCCGGGAGCTGGAATTGGTGATATTGTTGGAAACATGAATGATATTATGATGGGAAATGGGAACAAACCCATTATTTGTATTAGTGCAGGGGGTAATGATGTTGGACGAGTTAGGAGTGAGGAACTAATACAGAGATTCAGGACAGTTATTGAATTAGTTAGGAGCAAGGGAGGAATCCCGATCATATGTGGCATTCTTCCAAGAAAGGGAGTGGGTAATGAATGGATGTCGAGGGCACTTGGTGTCAATTGCCGGCTGGAAAGATATTGCAAATCAAATGCAATATCTTTCATAGACAACTGGGAACACTTCTATGGAAGAAATTAAATGTATGCTCGTGATGGGGTGCATCTATCGAGGGCTGGGGTTGTTGCTGTTGCGAACTCGTTGGAACCAGTGGTTAGAGGTGTTTGTTTGGGTTTAAACTGTTAGTAGATAGTGGTATGGGCATTAAGCATTAAGCATAGACACAGAGTTCTCCCATATTAATAGGAATTTGATGAAAGAAAGTGAGTAGCCCCTCACAATGCTCTAGTTGCCCTTGGGAGGTGGTGATCTTTGGAGGTGAAATACTCCGAAATTACCATCTCTTTTAAGGGTCTGAGCTGTGGTGCAGTGGGTTAAAGGCTTACCAGTTATGCCAGTTGCTGTAAGGCTTCTGTGCTGGCTAGGGTTCGAATCTCCTGGTGGGAAAGTGTTCTAAGGTTGTATAATCTCTCTTGCGGTGTTTAGGCAAGTTGTGCATATATATATAATTATATATATATATATAATTATATATATAATTATATATATATATATATATATATATATATATATATATATATATATATATATATATATATATATATATATATAACTGAAAACTCACACCCCAGAAGTGACTCGAACCCATACTGCCAGGAGCAACGCAACTGGTATGTACAGGGACGCCTTAATCCGCTTGACCATCACGACCGGACATAAGGAAGTGATAGCCGAAGCTATTTGAACCACTTCCCCGCCGGCACTCGGATTGTAATCTTGGGCATAGCATTTTATCAAATCACCTCATTCTTTGGGGCACACGTGAGGAACACAAATGCAAACAAGCCTGAATGGTCCCCAGGACTATATACAACTGAAAACTCACACCCCAGAAGTGACTCGAACCCATACTGCCAGGAGCAACGCAACTGGTATGTACAGGGACGCCTTAATCCGCTTGACCATCACGACCGGACATAAGGAAGTGATAGCCGAAGCTATTTGAACCACTTCCTCGCCAGCACTCGGATGGTAATCTTGGGCATAGCATTTTATCAAATCACCTCATTCTTTGGGGCACACGTGAGGAACACAAATGCAAACAAGCCTGAATGGTCCCCAGGACTATATACAACTGAAAACTCACACCCCAGAAGTGACTCGAACCCATACTGCCAGGAGCAACGCAATTGGTATGTACAGGGACGCCTTAATCCGCTTGACCATCACAACCGGACATAAGGAAGTGATAGCCGAAGCTATTTGAACCACTTCCCCGCCGGCACTCGGATGGTAATCTTGGGCATAGCATTTTATCAAATCACCTCATTCTTTGGGGCACACGTGAGGAACACAAATGCAAGATAGCTTCGGCTATCACTTCCTTATGTCTGGTCGTGATGGTCAAGCGGATTAAGGCGTCCCTGTACATACCAGTTGCGTTGCTCCTGGCAGTATGGGTTCGAGTCACTTCTGGGGTGTGAGTTTTCAGTTGTATATAGTCCTGGGGACCATTCAGGCTTGTTTGCATTTGTGTTCCTCACGTGTGCCCCAAAGAATGAGGTGATTTGATAAAATGCTATGCCCAAGATTACCATCCGAGTGCCGGCGGGGAAGTGGTTCAAATAGCTTCGGCTATCACTTCCTTATGTCCAGTCGTGATGGTCAAGCGGATTAAGGCGTCCCTGTACATACCAGTTGCGTTGCTCCTGGCAATATGGGTTCGAGTCACTTCTGGGGTGTGAGTTTTCAGTTGTATATAGTCCTGGGGACCATTCAGGCTTGTTTGCATATATATATATATATATATATATATATATATATATATATATATATATATATATATATATATATATATATATATATATATATATATATTTGTATGTATGTTTGTGTTTCGTAGACAAGAAAGGCTACAAGAACCTAAGAGCTTTAGGTCGTGTGCATTATTATTGACTAAAGTAAATAGGCTGATCACTAAAGATAGGTGAGGTAGGTGCCCACTATGGGTCTGTGAGGTTTTCTTGGTTTTGATGTTGGTGTGTTGTAAGAAGGATTTTTGACACAAGTGTTTGAGGACCCTTGCACAGGTGTGTTAGGTGGACGTGCGTCGTAGGAATGAGGTCAAAAGACACAAGTGTTTGTGGCAGTGCCAGAACACTTCTTCCTTCCATGAGCTGGAGCGACCCATCAGTGGTGCTCATGACTTGGTCCTCTCAAGATCAACTGCTGTGCTCCTGACTTGGTCCTCTCAAGATCAACTGCTGTGTTCCTGACTTGGTCCTCTCAAGATCAACTGCTGTGCTCCTGACTTGGTCCTCTCAAGATCAACTGCTGTGTTCCTGACTTGGTCCTCTCAAGATCAACTGCTGTACTCCTGACTTGGTCCTCTCAGCATCGGCTCCAATTCCATCACAACTCAACAGGTTTGTATATGTTCAGAATAAACTCTTTCTTCGGAACAATAATTTTAAAGTCGACCAACAAATGTATTCTGCTTAAAAAAGAGTTTACCCGCCAATTTGTTTCCCGCGATAAGTTATGGTTTTGTAATTTATGTGTTGTGGATGAAGGATTTATCACCAGATACACCCGGGGTACTCCTAGGAAGATTTTATCTCAGATTGACTACCAGTTTGAGGATCTACATATATATATATATATATATATATATATATATATATATATATATATATATATATATATATATATATATATATATATATATATATATATATATGCATATAAACACACCAGCATTGTGACTATCATTAATTTCTGTTGGATATTTTCCTTTCAACTCACGTGTCTTCTACCATCTGGAGGGAGAAGTAACACTAGATCTTTCCATTTTATTGTTCGACGTTTCGTCAACAATGTGACATCTTCAGGAGTACACTTTGTTGAACTGGCACACCTATACTGAGCTTGGGGACCATGAACCAATTGCAAGGAGAGGTTCTTGAGCATGAGAGAGGAAGAAGACAAAATATAATCAATATATCTAAACCATGAAATAATTCGAGACTGAATTGTCTTGTAAACATTTTTCTAACGTGTTCCCGGCAGAGGAGGATGGGCGGGAAGACTGTGTTGCTGGTGGTGGCGGCGCTGACGGTGCTGAGCCTGCGCGTCCAGGCTGACATCAACGCTGACGGTAAACCCTCTTAGCTTCACTACAGCTCCCTCACTCTCTTATCTTCACTACAGCTCCCTCACACTCTTAGCTTCACTACAGCTCCCTCACACTCTTAGCTTCACTACAGCTCCCTCACACTCTTAGCTTCACTACAGCTCCCTCACACTCTTAGCTTCACTACAGCTCCCTCACTCTCTTATCTTCACAACAGCTCCCTCACTCTCTTATCTTCACAACAGCTCCCTCACTCTCTTAGCTTCACTACAGCTCCCTCACACTCTTAGCTTCACTACAGCTCCCTCACTCTCTTATCTTCACAACAGCTCCCTCACTCTCTTATCTTCACAACAGCTCCCTCACTCTCTTAGCTTCACTACAGCTCCCTCACTCTCTTAGCTTCACTACAGCTCCCTCACTCTCTTAGCTTCACTACAGCTCCCTCACTCTCTTAGCTTCACTACAGCTCCCTCGCTCTCTTAGCTTCACAACAGCTCCCTCGCTCTCTTAGCTTCACTACAGCTCCCTCACACTCGTAGCTTCACTACAGCTCCCTCACACTCGTAGCTTCACTACAGCTCCCTCACACTCTTAGCTTCACTACAGCTCCCTCACACTCGTAGCTTCACTACAGCTCCCTCACACTCTTAGCTTCACTACAGCTCCCTCTGTAAAATGAGCCATTTTTGCCTGCACCCTGCATAAGAAACGTTTATGGCATATTAATAATAACAAAATATATAATAATTTATTGTCAGTAGGTGAATATAGAATAATAATATTTAATAAATATTTATATAAAATTATTAATAATAAACTGCATTTTATTTCATAATTAACAAAGTTGAAGCTTAAACATTTCTACAGTTTTTACATAAATTTATTTAAACAGCTGCATTTCTTAATAGGAGCTGCAGCTATGACTGCAATACGCAACAATAATGCTTCGCTGGCATTGCAACTCATTAACAACAACCCAGCTTTAGCCTCCTGGTCTGACGCTGGTAAGTGGAAGCTTAAGCCTCTCATTAAGTTTTATATTGACAATAATATTGTAATTGACATAGCAACAATGAACTCTTTATATTATTAATTTTGTTATATTTTATTCAGAAACATGTCAATGCAATTCAGTTACATCTGAGATACGTGGGTTATATTTGAGATACATGTGCTAGGCGATGAGTCACAATAACGTGGCTGAAGTATGTTGACCAGACCACACACTAGAAATTGAAGGGACGACGACGTTTCGGTCCGTCCTGGACCATTCAATCGACTTGAGAATGGTCCAGGACGGACCGAAACGTCGTCGTCCCTTCAATTTCTAGTGTGTGGTCTGGTCAACATACATGTGCTATTTCTGAGATACATTTGTTATATCTGACTTATATGATATGTCTGAGATACATGTGTTATATCCGAGATACCTGTTTCATATCTGAGATGTTGCAAGAACAAGTGTCAGACTACCACTTACATGAGAATGAGACTTCACAAGGAGGAGTCCTCAGTCCTAGACTTTTTAACATCCTTATGGAAAACCTCGTTACCATGACATTTGCAGAAGTGGTTAAATTGTCATGCTATGCCGATGATATGATATGCCGATACTCACTATAGGTCCTATACTTCCAAATAAAGCAAAAGGTGCATTAGATGAATTAAAATCTGAATGCAGCGTTTTAGGACTAAAAATATCTGCACAGAAGTCTAAGGCAATGAGACTAGGCGGCAACAATCCAGACAGGAACCTACGCATTCAAGACATTAACCTTCAGTGGGTTACACAATATCAATATCTCGGAGTGTGGATAGATTCTGAAATGACATTCAACAAGCAAATTCAATATCTAAAGGAGAAAGCAAAATCACGACTAAATATAATGAGAGCAATCACAGGGCCCCGTCTAGGAGCGGGACACAAAGTGTTAAGAATGTTTTACATACACGCCGTTCGTTCCCTAGTTGATTATGCAGCGCCTGCCTTACTCACTCTTTCTCCTGGCCAGTGGGCAAACGTTGAGGTTATTCCAAACGATGCAATGCGAGTCATAACAGGAGCTCCCAGATGGACTAAAATACTGAACCTAAGACTAGAAACCAAGCTAACTTCGATTGAAATAAGGGTAAAAGGGATTGCTGGGTGCATGCTGACAAAGATATTGACTAGACCTAGAATCAGTTCACTTAAAGATATAATCACTGGAGAACTAACTCTGGACAGAAGAGCTTCCAATAACAACAGGTGGACCCATTGTGCGATAAACACCATCAATACATTCGATATAACAAACACAATCACTGAGAAGAGTGTCGACGAAATACATGCAGACTTTGTTATACAAGCCCCTTGGGAATCTCTGCCAGCAGACTTTAAGATTATGGTTATTGAAGGAAAAAAGAACCAAACAAATCCTCATCTGCTACGTAACATTGCACAGATGCATATAGAAACAAACTTGGCATCCGACAGCCTCACATACTTCACAGATGGATCAGTAGACCAGCAGGGACAAGAAACCGGAGCTGCAGTTAAAGTAGGAAACTGTAAATAGTTGGAGACTCTCAAATGGGTGTTCGACTTTACAGAGATGCTAGCTATTCAAAAGGCTTTGGAACATGCTCTTGCTGAACACCGACAATATGTTATCATACATACAGATTCGAGAACTGCCACTGAAACCTTGCAATAAGAACACATATGTGATAGCATCCATCTGATCACAAATGTCATATCATTAGCGCAAACACTCAAATGACAAGGCCGACGGTTACTTATCAACTGGGTGCCAAGTCATGTGGGAATAATAGGAAATGACATTGCAAACGAAGCTGCAAAACTTGCAACTAAGAAAAGAACTGTAGACATTTACATACCACAGAGTGTATAACAGATTAAGAAAGTAATTAGAAACAGAGCAATGCAAAAGATGTACAGTGACCACAACACAGCAGTTACAACATCAGGATTTGCGGGTTGGTACAAGAATTCAACCAACTACGAACCACTTCGTTTCATGAAAGGGAGCAGTAGAACAACAAAAATATACTTATATTGCATCAGGCTTGGATACCCATGTGCATGGGAAATAGGCTTACAGGTTCCGGAAGATGAGAGGAAATGTCAGCACTGGAGAAATGTCCGACAGACCACTGGAACATTACCTAACACAGTGCACAGTTACAAATTCATTAAGATTTCAACTTAGATTCAACAGAGCAGAAGAAGTTGTTAAACACGTTGGGCAAAATCTTACTGAAGCGACCATACGAGTCATAAATACTCATACTCCGCCCAAGTAAATCAGAAACAAGCAACACTTTGTGGGCCAGCCAGAGGCTTAGGGCCCGTGCAGGAATATCCCTGCAAAAGAAAAAAAATATCTGAGAGACATGTGTTACATCTGAGATAAATGTGTCATATATGTGGTATATCTAAGATACATGTGTTACTGAATATGACAGCAAGAGTCTGGTCAATAATTATGGAACGAATCTTCTCAATTATTTCCTCTTCACTTGGAAAGAAAGGTTAAAAATTACTCTCCAAAGTTACACATATAAAGAAACGTACCAATTTTTTTCCTGATTACTAAGTGTTATTTCCTAAGTGCTCTTGGCTAGAAAAGTTTAGAAAATGCCTATTATTTCCCCTGAAACTTGGCAGTTGTGTCCAGGAAACTTACAATTGTAAATTGATTGTTGAGAAACGTGCACGTTGCGTCTTTTCGTTCACAAAATCATCATAAACATATAATTAAAATTAACATTATTTACTCTAAAGTTATACAAAAATGACGACGAAAGTTTCTGGAGTAGTTTTTCGAGATTTGTGATTATATTGTAAATCACTTTCACGAATCGGCCCCAAAGATAGTCTCCCATTAAGTTCTAGTTATAGTGTCCTTGGTAGTGGCGTTCGAAGTTCAGTATTTCCTTGTGAGAGTGCTCGCCTTGCTCCTCCGAGTACGCTCCCATGTTCTTGAATTGATGAAAATGAACATCAAGGATATATGGACTACGAGGGACATTCTGTAGCCCCCTTGTACCGGTGTTCAACGCCAGTCTCAACCAGTTCAGCACAGTTTTTGGCTTTGTGACTGTTCAGGAAGACCCGAACCAATGCCACAAGGCCGCTCCAAGCCACTCTTTCTTTCCTTGTTCACTTCTCTTGGAATTTCTTACACTCCAGGATCTTTTACATCTATAGTTCGATGAAGCTACCGACTTTGACCTTTGCCTCACACAGCTTTGGGAAGAAGTCTTTAAGGTTGTCGACTCCTTGTAGCGAACTGTGACACATGGAGCACATTTTGGAAAAATCCGCAGAAGCCGTGATGGGGGATTCGAACCTATGCGGTCTGTATTCCCACGCACACGCCCAAGACAACCATGCCACGACATGGTCAAAAGGATTGCAACCTGGATTTCTACTAAACACACGAGGGTTTCCTGAGGCTTCCACTGAAATCGAACCAGGATTTTCACACAGGCTTCAGTGGAAGCGTCAGGAAACCCTCGTGAGTTTAGAACTCCAGGTTGCAATCGTTTTGACCATATCGTGGCCTGGTTGTCTGGGGTGAGTGCGTGGGAGCACAGACCGCATAGGTTCGAATCCCCATCACGGCTGCTACGGATTTTCTCATTGATACCTCACAATGTATCACAGAGACATTAGAAAGAACTTTTTCAGCGCCGAAGTAGTTAGTAAATGGAATGCATTAGGCAGTGATGTGGTGGAGGCTGACTCAATACACAGTTTCAAACGTAGATATGATAGAGCCCAATAGTCTAAGGAATCTGTACACCAGTTGATTGACGATTGAGAGGCGGGACCAAAGAGCCAAAACTCAACCCTCGCAAGCACAACTAGGTGAGTAAAACTAGGTGAGTGTGATCACTCCCTGAGCACCTTCTAGGGCTCAACCGTAGCTTCCATTTGACGCTGTTTCTTTCTACTGAGAACTATGTCCATTGTGGCCACTCCTCCTGTGGTAGTGTACCCGGGTGTCCTGCCTGTGGTAGTGTACCCGGGTGTCCCGCCTGTGGTAGTGTACCCGGGTGTCCCACCTGTGGTAGTGTACCCGGGTGTCCCACCTGTGGTAGTGTACCCGGGTGTCCCGCCTGTGGTAGTGTACCCGGGTGTCCCACCTGTGGTAGTGTACCCGGGTGTCCCGCCTGTGGTAGTGTACCCGGGTGTCCCACCTGTGGTAGTGTACCCGGGTGTCCCACCTGTGGTAGTGTACCCGGGTGTCCAAAAAGCAAAGGTAATAGGGAGGAAACTTTCTGCAACTGCTTTGGAGGTCTATCAGGACTGCCAAATTTGTTATGTCTTCGATGATCTTACAGCCACAAGCATCATTCTTCCACTTAGGCAAGTGGATCTAACCCGAACTAGTGAACTGTTTTTATACATCTATTTATATCATTGGAAAGTTCCAGAAGTTACTCCAAATGTTATCTGCACTGAATCTTCTCGGAATGTTTTGGAAATTAGGGAAATTTCATAATATCATTGTCCTGGTCGCAAAAAACATAGTTGTGTGGGGAATAATATCCATTTTCTATATTTTGGAGGATTAAGCAATTGTGAAACAACACTTAATATTTAAGAAAATTAACTGTTACTCTGATAATGGGTCTGACACATTTTGCTCGGTATAGCTTCGCATCCTCAGAGGCAGAGGGAAAGCGACTCGGTAACATGTATTCCGTGTTTGTGTGCTGAGAAAAGATGGGACAAGGTAATCTGGTCCTGTATGTCCGTTGTTGTCAATGTGATTAAATGAGAGAAAATAATTGGGTGTAAAATGGACCGGCCTGGCATGGGCAGTAGGTTTTCTTCAATGTTAATTTATTACGTTCTGATAAATGCAAGTTTGTCATTTTGCACCTGGTGAAAACTTTTGAGCGAATTTTAATTTTAAGAATGTTTTTTTTTCAGACCCTATAAAAACCTATACAATATGAGAAATGGTGTTGCAGGAGAATCTATTGGTCGGACTACGTGATAAACCATATACTATGATAATTAATATCTTTGTTTTCAGACAATCAAACACTGCTGATTCTCGCCAGCGCAATGGGAATGTCATCTGTTGTGCAGAGACTTGTTGATCTTGGCGCCAACCTGGAAGCTACAACTAATCAACAACGTAAGTTTGCATAGTTTAAAATACATAAGATTTATGTGACTAACGACTGATGTGTATAGAGAAGTGTTTCTAAGCTGTCTATGTGACATCTGATGACTATTATACTAGGTGCAATTGTAGTGGAATTAAATAAATAATATACAAATACTATTAGAGGACTCTTGTGTCGAGACACTGAAGCGGCCAATGTTGACTCAGACCACCAGAGCTCCCCGGGGGTGACTGTAGGCAGCCAGCACAGGTTAGGCACACTTCATTAACTGCAGTGCAGTATAGAGAATGGGAGCCAGGCAACTGGTCTAAACATGGTACACTATAGGCGTATCAAGGGGAAAATAGGGCCTATGGCAAGCACTAAAATTGCGTCCCTTTTCAAACATCTGACACTCATCTCTCAGATACCGTTTTTATAAAATCACAAAAAAATAATAAAATGTAATATGCCTAACGGCAAGAAATAAAACCTGTAACTAATATAATAGTAATATAATCAAAGACTGATCATACATCTGAAGATTTATTTTTTTTGCTATCCGAGAATAGTTTGTTTGACAGAGAAATGAAAAATGTTCAGGTGGCGCCGCCTTCAAGTTGGTATCTTCATGGTGATCCCCTTCACAGGACCCCTTCAAGTGGTGCCCAAGGCACTTGCAATACCCTTGATACGCCACTACATGCAACACAGTAACGCCACATCAATAAATAATATATCATTACATGCCAATGAGGCCACTTGAGTTAATTATATAGTTAATAACATTGATAACTTTAAAAATTATGATAATATTATTCTGATTCTTTTCCCTCTTACTCTGTGAATAAGTATAAATCTCCTACAGCAGGTGCCACACCCCTGATACTTGCCACCCGCAGTTGTTGCACAGAATGTATTAGTGCACTGGTCAAGGCGGGGAGTAACGTCAACGCTCAAAACTCGCTTGGTAAGTGAATTTTAGGGCTTTTTTAGTCATGTAAACATTTACAAATCTTAATATTATCTGACATTGTTTAGTATTACCAGGAGCCAGAGGCTCGGTGATCTCATCCGAGTCCCATGTACGTGAGTGTGTGTAGGTTCACATGGGAGTGTGTAGGTTCCCACGGGAGTAATTGGACGTTTGTTGCTTCACATGGGATGTAGATTCACATGGGAGTGGTTGGTTCACACGGGAGTACATGGAAGTGTGTTGCTTCACATGAGAGTGTGTGGGTTCACATGGAAGTGTGTAGGCTCACATGGGATCTTCTATTGCGGTCCGACTCGATGGCCTGGACGCCCTCCCTACAGGTCTGTGTTTGAGTAGTGAGTTCGTCTATGTTACGAACCCGACATCCTCATCGGAGCAGGGAGTACTGACTTCAGCGCCATCTGTTAGTCTGCTCCCTAATCCCCACAGTATCGGATGTCATATGGACGACGACATCTAGTGGTGACAGCCTGATTACTGCAAAAAAAGGCTCAAAATTCCTGCCTTAGTCAACCAGTGAGGTCGTAGTGAGTGACCTTTGGTGAGGTGGTGATTCAAGACCAGCGCCATCTGTTGTCATTACGAGCAGAATGTCAATGTCCGAGTGGGTTTGTGTTGCTTCTTGGTTTCTCCAGTACCCTATAACTGATAACGTGTCAGTATCCACAGAGGTGATGTGGGGCAGCAGTGGTACTGAGGAAAATAGTTTACTTTGGGCAGCCTAATCTCTCCCAATTTAGTTCCACCTGACGACTAAGTGAGCCGCCGCCGACTAGGAACAGTGTGGTTTCTGATTTCTGCTAGTGGAAGAATTCGGCGTATCCCGGGACTGGCTAAGGGGAAAGACGATCGACAGTGAGGTTCAAGTTGAAATATGTTTATTGAGATAAGCAATAAATACATCTCAAAGGGATAGAGTAGCTTAGGCTATTTCTACCCCGGCCCCTCCTTACGCGACAGTGAGGTGCTGCTGAGGAGCGTTACTGGCCCATCGCTAGAGGCTCCTCCTGCCAGAGGTTCGCTACCCCTACCAGTATTTGTCCGTGTAGTGGTCCCCTTCAGAGCGTAGCTAAGGATTTCTGCCAGCACTTGGCTGGAGAGTGATTGTGGGCAATCACAAGAGGCACCTAGTGATACTGTCGGTAGACTGGCCCACGGCAATGATTTGATCTGGCTTAATACACAATATCTACTTTTTTTAACTAATATTATCTTTTATTAAACAATTTATCAAATAATTTAAGAATATTATACATCTGGGTGGATTATTAATTTTGCCTAAATATTCAACCCAACTTCCTGTTTAGATTATACATTTTGCACCTATATATGGACCAATGTACAAAACATCGAAGTACTAAGCCATTATATAGTAGAATTTTGTACTATTCACTTTATAGAATCAGACAAAATTAAGCTAAAAACAAACTTAAATATTCCTACGCCTATTTAGCACACATATGTACTATATTAGGCCTCGGATAGCTTGTATTAGACCTAGGAAGGTTAGGTTAGGTTAGTTTGTCTTTGCAACATAAATAGAAAATCTTTTCCTGTTTGTCCAAATTCAATAAGATTTCTACTTTCTAACTGCGTTGTACGTCGGTATATGTACTATGGTCCTCAGCCTTCCTATAAGTCCTCCCAAAACAGGATGGGCTGGTGTGGGGTGTGTTACCCAGTTGTTCCAATTAATGGTGATTTCTGACCCCCACTGTTGTTTTCTACTGTATCTTACATTTAAGATATTACGCGGGCTATATAACGTCTTCGACTTTATTAATAAGCTTTTGGGGCCCAAACAGGGGACACTGGTCTAAGAGCGCGGAGCCCCTGGCCAGGGGAGACTGGTCTAAGAGCGCGGAGCCCCTGGCCAGGGACACTGGTCTAAGAGAGCGGAGCCCCTGGCCGGGTACACTGGTCTAAGAGCGCGATCCCCTGGCCAGGGACACTGGTCTAAGAGCGCGGAGCCCCTGGCCAGGGACACTGGTCCAAGAGCGCGGAGCCCCTGGCCAGGGACACTGGTCTAAGAGAGTGGAGCCCCTGGCCAGGGGACACTGGCCTAAGAGTGGAACCCCTGGGCCAGGGGACACTGGTCTAAGAGAGCGGAGCCCCTGGCCAGGGACACTGGTCTAAGAGAGTGGAGCCCCTGGCCAGGGGACACTGGTCTAAGAGTGGAACCCCTGGGCCAGGGGACTCTGGTCTAATAGAGCGGAGCCCCGGCCAGCCCTGTAGTATTAATAGTGAGGCACATTAAAGCACACCAACACTTCTCTTAGTCAAATTCAAATTTATATTCAGGTAAATGTACATACATTGAAGATTAGTTACAAACATAATGTTGGAATTATTGATAGAACTCGTTCATATAATACCTAAAGCCACTAATATGCATAGCGTTTCGGCCAAAGTGTTGGGGAAAAAAACCTTAGACTAAAAACTTAATAGTAATTGAGATTAAAGTATAAATTGTGTTGAAAAAGGAATAAAAAAGGGTGGAACATGGCAGAAATCAGCAATTATACATGTTGGTCAACAGTATTAACTGATAATTGCAAGACATGGGTTGACATTTAGGGGGTAAGGTAGGTTACATGGAATGTATTAGGTAGTACTTAGTTTTTTCTCTTAAACTAGTTGAGAGAGGTAAAGCCTTTGACATGATTGGGAAGGTCATTCCACATTCCGGGTTCCTTGATTTGTATAGCATTTCTAGTTTGGTTAAGGCGCACTCTTGGAATATCAAATAGGTATTTGTTTCTGGTGTGGTGCCCATGGGTTCTGTTACAACCACTTGAGAGGCTGGTTGTAACAGCCACAAGGTTTGTGATACAACCACTTGAGAGATGTGCAATGACTTAATATCTAGCATATTCAAAGATTTAAGTAAGGGTATAGATATTAGTAATCTAATGTCATTTTAATTTAACTTTTGGAGATGGCTTTATAGCACCACTCACGCCGACGTTTATATATTAGTGTCAGGCCTTCAAAAGCGAAGGCTGTATGAACCATTTTCTGTAACTGTGTGAACAATATTCTGTGATTGGACATTAACCATTTTCTGTAATCGGATATTGACATCAATTTCTTAAAGTCCTCTGCAGAGTCTTATAATACAGCCGAAGGCCTTAGTTATGTAAATCTTTAAAAATATAACAAATTCAAAATATATAAAAGCTTCCCAAGTTTATGTAACAGACCTTTTACTTTTTCTTACTTCTCTGTTGTGCGGTGAACATTTATCAGATAATAATTAATATCTTTATATTACAGGATGGTCACCATTAATTTTGGCTGCTTGGTACTGCGAGAGCCAAGAACAGGTCCTTCTAGATGCAGGAGCGAATATAAACCTCACAGATAACTCTGGTAAATATCATTATAAGATTCATTATGTATGCTGTATATAAATTGTAATTAAGTATTGCAATCATCATATACTGCATTTTTTCTGCAAATAAATATTTGTAAAAATGTAGTTTTATGCTTTTTTATATGTTAAGACTAATAGTCACTGGTAGGCTTGTGTGCCGTTATACAACAGTCACTGATAGGGCTATGTACCATTATACAACAGTCACTGGTAGGCTTGTGTGCCGGGATACAACAGTCACTGATAGGCCTATGTACCATTATACAACAGTCACTGGTAGGGCTATGTGCCGTTATACAACAGTCACTGATAGGCCTATGTACCGTTATACAACAGTCACTGGTAGGCCTATGTACCATTATACAACAGTCACTGATAGGCCTATGTACCATTATACAACAGTCACTGGTAGGCCTATGTACCATTATACAACAGTCACTGGTAGGCCTATGTACCATTATACAACAGTCACTGGTAGGGCTATGTACCATTATACAACAGTCACTGGTAGGGCTATGTGCCGTTATACAACAGTCACTGGTAGGCCTATGTACCATTATACAACAGTCACTGGTAGGGCTATGTGCCGTTATACAACAGTCACTGATAGGCCTATGTACCGTTATACAACAGTCACTGGTAGGCCTATGTACCATTATACAACAGTCACTGGTAGGCCTATGTACCATTATACAACAGTCACTGGTAGGGCTATGTGCCGTTATACAACAGTCACTGGTAGGGCTATGTGCCGTTATACAACAGTCACTGGTAGGTTTGAAGCTTCACAATAAACTAGAAGCCTACAACAACAACAACAACCTCGCCCGGAACCTCTCTGGACAGCCGTCAGCACAGCCACATAGACACTCGCTGCCGGCGCCATTGCTAGCTGGCCGCACAGGGATTTGTTTCCGGAAAAACTCAAGATTCTGAGCACCCATCAGCTCACTTCAGCGCGGTTTTGTGAGGAAGAAGACATCAGTACTCAAAGACCCAGACAATATCTTGTTTTGAAGGAAACATTTCCGATTTCGTCTACAATTGACGGAGAAACAACGTTGTTGATTACCTGCTGTCCAGCTGACTGGTATTCTGCGCAACCCAGTACGCAGGCGACCCAAACTCTCGTATCGCACTTTTTTTTTTGGGGGGGGGGGGACCAGTTCACTGACCAGGTCACTTAGAGTCCTCCCCTGGCAAGTCGATATCCCGCGGGCATTGCTACAAGGGAGCACCTTAGAAGGTGTACTGAGCCTGACAGGGAAAGGTAGACCAAACGGCTCATTTAGGTGTTAGGTATCCCTGATTCCACTCTAGGGAATCATTCTACGACCTCCGTTGGAAGGGAATGATTTTCTCCAGGCCTAGGAGTGTCTCAGGCATTAGGTAGGGCAATGATTCGGTCCTCACTACATGGACAGAGTCATGGGGAAGGCTAAGAGAAAGAGGAAATGGAGGCAGCTTTCAGACGAGGAGGGACGGTAGACCGATGCGCAGCAGGCACCGAAGAAAACTGCTATCGAGGCTTCATCACTTGCTTCTACCAGCAAGACAGCAGACGTAATGGACCTAGAGGGGACAGCATCAGTCACACACCAGCCAGTGTCAGACAATGCTTCTCTGTCCACAACCCAGCCACAAGACGACAGTATGAGACAGGAGAGGACACCACCAGTCACACACCAGCCAGTGTCAGACTCTGCACATCTTCCAAAATTCAAGATAATGCAGACAGACCACTTTCCTACAGCATATGGAGTAGTAACGGCAATGGAAAAAGAACAACCAGAGCTCAAACTTTCCATCACAGTCAACCTGAAAGAAGAAATAATACTGACACCACAAGACCAACAGACTGCAAATTACTTGGAAAAAGTAAGAGTCCTGCAAGGGAAACCTGTATGCTTGGAAAAGCTGGACCCTTCAGAAGGACGCACATGAGTCGTGTTTTTGGGATACCCAATCGACTTTCCCCTGGATCCAATACTAGAACACCAGCAAATCCTGAATGCGGAACGATGCCGCACAAAAGTAAACAAGGCAGCGACACGTCAGGTTCTGGTGACCGTCATGGGACATGTGCCAGAAACATTCAGTCTTGGAAATTGGGGAATATACCGACAGATACCATACGTCCCGGAACCCCTGCGCTGCTTCAGGTGTCAGAAATACGGCCGCCATCAATCACGCTGCACCGGACAGGAGAGATGCGGAGTGTGCAGCCTGAGACATCCAACCCAAGACTGTATAGCCAAGCACAAGGCAAACCAGACCACAACAGCCAAATGTCCAAATTGTGGAGGCAAACATTATGCCTGGAGCACAACCTGCTCTGCACGGAAAGAAAAAGTGCAGACAACTCAGGCCAGGATCAACACACAGACCAGCACCACATACACCAACACCAACGTCTGGAACACTCGTGCACAGCCACAACAGACACACACACTCACAGAGAAAAATTTCCCGAATCTTTTAATTCCAAATCAGAAAATACACAAAAGTGCTGCAGAAATACAGCAAATGCAAAAGTGCAAAAAAAAATTACTTTCGGAATCAACACAACAGATATACAGTTTTACCACCGAGGTCCAGCTGAAAAACAGTGAAGATCATGGCAGAGACCATTATCAATCGTCTACAGATGACGCAGAACGCCTCACAGCAACAGACTCAAGAAATCACTTGTGTGAGATCGTGCAGCAGACCACAGTTACACAAGAAATAGACAGTCTGAGACAAGACGGAGCACAAGAGGACAAACAACGCAACATGGACATACAGACTACCAACAACAGTCGGGTAGTCAAGACACCAGAACATCAACATTTACAACAGCAACTGCAAGAAGCAGTGACCACCCAAGATCAACAGAATCTTACAACACAAGAGACAGACAACAACAGCCAATGCAGTGTGATATGCAACAACACCAACAAAGACGTATTGAACAGCAGAGATGCACAGGTTCCAACAACACAAGAAACAGCTACGAGCAATCAATGCAGTCCGACATGCAGCAATACCAACAACAGTGATGGACCACAATTATGCACAGATTCCAACAACGCCGGGGATGACCACGAGCAATCAATGCAGTCCGATTTGCAGCGACACGACTTGCGAGGTGGTTAATATAGAAGTCGATTCCGAAGAGGAGTTCTAGTAGAACAGGCAACACCAACCGAAACCGTCGTCTGGCCATTATGAATACTGCAGTGGAACATACAAGGTCATGGAAATAAAAACCACACACTTCAGGAGGCTGCAATCAGCACGAAAGCAGATATAATCCTGTTGGAAGAAACTCTTTTTCCCAGCCACGAAGTCCTTCAGATTAGCTGGATACCAGCACTATGTTATACCGTATGAGCAGGGGAGACAAAGAGGGTTAATGACCCTAGTCAGGAACACCATAACCAGCAAGGAAATAGACCCAGTTTCATATGGGGATGGAGTAGAGGTATTAGCAGTAACAGTGAATATGGCCAATATTGAGCTCCTCATATACAACGTTTACAAGCCCCCTAGATGTAAACTAGAAGCAGAGGCAGTGCTTACCTTGGCCACGCAGGAAAATGTAATTATTGCTGGGGATTTTAATGCTCATCATCAAGAGTTAGGTGCAACTGGGCCAGCCAATGCAGATGGGCGCCATTTAGCTGCAGCTCTGCGAGAAGTACCTGAAATTACACTTCTCAACACTGGGGAACCCACTCACATTCTAGGAGGTTCCCTTGATCTTATATTAATCTCAACAGCACTCAAACATCAAGCGAAGTGGGAAGTAGACCCGGTAATCACCAGTGACCACTATGCTACTGTCACAACACTAAACATAGAACGACCTCCTACACCACCTGTACAACCTCGGTGGAATTTACGAAAGGCCAATTGGAATATATACCAAGAAGAACTTAAAAAATGGTATGCAACATACACGCCACCTGAGGATTTGAACATACACGAGACCAATCTGCAGGAAGCCATTACAACTGCTGCAGACAAAGCTATTCCAATAATTATCACAGGAAATACAAAAAGAAAGAACTATTGGTTCTATAGTAATGAAGTTAAAGAACAGAACCACAGAGTCAACATCTTCAGAAAACATCTAAAGAGAAACCCCACACCAGAAGGAAGAACTCTGCTAAGAGCAGTGATATCTGAAGCAAGAAGAGTTTCTAGAGAAGTAAATTAGGCAAGATGGTTTGAGTGGTGTCAAACTCTAAATGAACATAGTAGTCTTGGCAAGATATGGGGTCAGATTAAAACTATATCAGGTCGACCAGCCCGACCACAGGCATGTATTCAACCATTGCAGGAGGCTGAGAGACTTGCTCTCCAATTTGCAGAAAGAACAGCTTCATATCAGCTTCCTGCAGTGGTCCGAAGGCAGCAAGAACAATTAAAACAAGAGAGGATGACAGTCATTCATGAGAGCATAGCTATAAATGACGAATGTGACTGTCCCTTCACCAAACAAGAACTAATCAGAGCCAAAAAAGGTGGTAAGGACACTACACCAGGTGCTGATAACATTACAAACTCAATGGTCGCACATGCAGGTCCTGCTGGAGAACAAGGAATATTGGACGTCATTAATGCATCTTGGCAGCAAGGCAAACTACCGACCTCTTGGAAGAAAGCAGACATCATACCGATTCCTAAGCCGAAAGAACCTGGCAATTACAGGCCAATCTCATTAACATCATGCATTAGTAAAACTGCAGAACGGATGGTCTTAAATAGGCTACTGTGGAAGACTGGAGACTTGCATAAAAACACATTTGGCTTCACTAGAGGAGTAGGTACTGCCAACTGCATAGCAACATTACTAGGAACAGTTAACTCAGGTCCAGCTATAGTGATCTTCCTTGATCTAGAAAAAGCATTCGAACTTCTAAGCCCGCAAGCAATTTTACACACCTTAGTTAAAAAAGGTGTAAAGGGAAATATGCTAGCATGGATTCAAGATTACCTAAGTCACAGGTATGCCAGAGTAAAGTTGCAAGGACACGTGTCGGACTACCACTTGCATGAGAATGGGACTCAACAAGGAGGAGACCTCAGTCCTAGTCTTTTTAACATCCTTATGGAAAACCTTGTTACCATGACATTTACAGAAGGGGTTAAATTGCTAAGCTATGCTGGTGATATAGCATTAATCATTACAGGTCTTTCACTTCTAAATAAAGCACAAGGTGCATTAGATAAAGTAGCATCTGAATGCAGCGTTTTAGGGCTAAAAATATCTGCACAGAAGTCTAAGGCAATGAGACTAGGTGGCAAGGCTCTAGACAGGCAACTACGCATTCAAGACATTAACCTTCAGTGGGTTACACAATATCAATATCTCGGAGTGTGGATAGATTCTGAAATGACATTCAACAAGCAAATTCAATATCTAAAGGAGAAAGCAAAATCACGACTAAATATAATGAGAGCAATCACAGGGCCCCGTCTAGGAGCGGGACACAAAGTGTTAAGAATGTTTTACATACACGCCGTTCGTTCCCTGGTTGATTATGCAGCGCCTGCCTTACTCACTCTTTCTCCTGGCCAGTGGGCAAACGTTGAAGTTATTCAAAACGATGTAATGCGAGTCATAACAGGAACTCCCAGATGGACTAAAATACTGAACCTAAGACTAGAAACAAAGATAACGTAAATTGAAATAAGGGTAAAAGGGATTGCTGGGTGCATGCTGACAAAGATATTGACTAGACCTAGAATCAGTTCACTTAAAGATATAATCACTGGAGAACTAACTCTGGACAGAAGAGCCTCCAATAGCAACAGGTGGACCCATTGTGCGATAAACACCATAAATACATTCGATATAACAAACACAGTCACTGAGAAGGGTGTCGACGAAATACATGCAGACTTTGTTATGCAAGCCCCTTGGGAATCTCTGCCAGCAGACTTTAAGATTATGGTTATTGAAGGAAAAAAGAACCAGACAAATCCTCATCTGCTACGTAACATTGCACAGATGCATATAGAAGCAAACTTGGCATCCGACAGCTTCACTTACTTCACAGATGGAGCAGTAGACCAGCAGGGACAAGAAACCGGAGCTGCAGTTAAAGCAGGAAACTGTAAATAGTTGGAGGCTCTCAAATGGGTGTTCGACTTTACAGAGATGCTAGCTATTCAAAAGGCTTTGGAACATGCTCTTGCTGAACACCGACAATATGTTATCATACATACAGATTCGAGAACCGCCATTGAAACCTTGCAACAAGAACACGTACGTGATAACATACATCTGATCACAAATGTCATATCATTAATGCAAACACTCAAACGACAAGGCCGACGGGTACTTATCTACTGGGTGCCAAGTCATGTGGGTATAATAGGAAATGACATTGCAGACGAAGCCGCAAAACTTGCAACTAAGAGAAGAAATATTGACATTTACATACCACAGAGTCTATCACAGATTAAGAAAGTAATTAGAAACAGAGCAATGCAAAAAATGTACAGTGACCACAACACAGCAGTTGCAACATCAAGATCTGCGGGTTGGTACAAGAATTCAACCAACTACGAACCACTTAGTTTGATGAAAGGGAGCAGTAGAACAACAGAAGTACACTTACATCGCATCAGGCTTGGATACCCATGTCCATGAGAAATAGGCTTACAGGTTCCGGAAGATGAGAGGAAATGTCAGCACTGGAGAAATGTCCGACAGATCACTGGAACATTATCTAACACAGTGCACAGTTACAAACCCATTAAGATTTCAACTTAGATTCAACAGAGCAGAAGAAGTTGTTAAACACATATGGCAAAATCTTACTGAAGCGACCATACGAGTCATAAATACTCATCCTCCGCCCAAGTAACACAGAAACAAGCAACAATTAGTGGGCCAGCCAGAGGCTTAGGGCCCGCGCAGGAATATCCCTGCAAAAAAAAAAGCAACATACATGTACATCTTCATTATCCATATGTTACTCTGTTCTTAGTGTCATGTCTGTTACTCTGTTGTTCTTAGTGTGATCCCAGTACTTTGTAAGGTGACTGTAGTTGCCCTTATATTACAGGAAATACGGTATTAAATATGGTACTGCAGAAGAGTACTGTAACATTGTTTGTATTACAGGCAATACAGCGCTCATCATTGGTGCTTACTTCGGGACGACTTATTCAATACATACCCTGATGGCTGCCGGGGTCAACATTAACGCTCAGAATATGTTCGGTAAAATATTTACTATAGTTCTCCCTAATCTGCGTTCCTATAAGAACGCACTTAGTTATCGCAAATATCACATACCATGCTTAATGAATATAATAAATTTTATAAATTTAGTTTATTATGACAATAATTTGAATGATTTTGTTTGAAGCATTAAAAGGAAATTAAACGGTGAATGTTAATAACTATATATTTTTTTCTTATATTTTAGGGGCAACTGCAGTAATGGCCATATCATTAGATGGGTCACCAAATCTCGCCGCCCTCTTGACCTACTGCCCTGACCTCACACTCACAACCAGTGATGGTGAGTTTTGCTTTTGCTTATTTAATGTTTGTTCTTTTATTTCCCGTCGCTGGGTGTTGGCGCCTCGTCGGTTGTACCCAGCGTATATATCTTCCTGGCACATGACACGAGAAGCTGCTCATCAGGACACAAATTAAACTGTGGTGTGAAAGTCGTAGTGTAAGGGGTGTAGTGTAAGGGGCCCAGGATGTGGAATGACCTTCCCAACCATGTTAAAGACAGTACCTCTCTCAACCAGTTTAAGTTAAAAACGAAGCTATACCTAATAAATTCCATGTAACCTACCTTACCCTTCTATTGTCAACCCATGTATGTTTTTTGTTTTTTTTATGTAAATGTTATGTTTTATGTTATGTTTTTTTATGTTTTTTATTTTTGTTTATTTTTATGTATGTAGTTTTAATGTAATTTTCTGTAATAATTTATAATTGTATTTGTGCTGTTTTTTCAACAATGTTCCCCCCTCTTTTACCTCTATTTTTATTTGTACTCAACGCATTTTTTTCTTTTTACCCATTAGTTTTAAGCTTTAGTCAGTAGTGTTTTTTTCCTGCCCGAAACGCTTTGCGTAATAGTGGCTTTAGGCATTGTATGTACTAGCTCTATCTATAAAGCCAACAAACTTTGTAAAATCTCTTTATGTATGTACCTTTACCTAAATAAAAATTATTATTATTATTATTATTATATATAAAACGCTAAACTATAATGCCAATCCTGATCTCAAAAGCTTCATAGAAGGTTGTAACAGAACCCATGAGCACTACACCAGAAATAAATACAGTTTTGATATTCCTAGAGTACGACTTAATCAAACTAGAAATGCTCTACAAATCAAGGGGCCCAGAATGTGGAATGACCTTCCCAACCATGTTAAAGACTGTACCTCTCTCAACCAGTTTAAGATAAAAACGAAGCTATATCTAATAAATTCCCTGTAACCTACCTTACCCTTCTATTGTCAATAGAAGGGTATGTCTGTTTTTTTTTAAAAAGCGGTTTGTCGACATAATTGTATTTGTGCTGCTTTTTCAGCTATGTTTTCATTTCTTGTTTTCATTCTACTCTTTATGCTCAATTAGTATTAAGCTTGTCATTTAAGTTTTTCATGCCCGAAACGCTTTGCGTAATAGTGGCTTTAGGCATTGTATGTACTAGCTCTACCTATAAGTCAACCAATCTTTGTAAAAATTTATTGTATGTATGTACCTTACCTAAATAAACATTTATTTATTTATTATTTATTAAGGGAGGTACTGGTGTAGGAGGGGCAGGGAGGAGGAGGTGGTAGGAGGGGCAGGGAGGAGGAGGTGGTAGGAGGGGCAGGGAGGAGGTGGTAGAAGTGTAGGAGGTGCAAGGAGTAGGAGGAGGTAGGGGGGGCACGGAGGAGAAGGTAGAATTGGAGTAGGGGCAGGGAGGAGGTGGTAGAAGTGTAGGAGGGGCAGGGAGGAGGAGGTAGAAGAGTAGGAGGGGCAGGAAGGAGGAGGAGGAGGTAGAGGTGTAGGAGGGGCAGGGAGGAGGAGGTAGAAGTGTAGGAGGGGCAGGAAGGAGGAGGAGGAGGTAGAGGTGTAGGAGGGGCAGGGAGGAGGAGGTAGAAGTGTAGGAGGGGCAGGAAGGAGGAGGAGGAGGTAGAGGGGCAGGGAGGAGGAGGTAGGAGTGTAGGAGGGGCAGGGAGGAGGAGGAGGTAGAAGTGTAGGAGGGGCAGGGAGGAGGAGGTAAAAGTGTAGGAGGGGCAGGAAGGAGGAGGAGGAGGTAGAGGTGTAGGAGGGGCAGGGGAGGAGGAGGTAGGAGTGTAGGAGGGGCAGGGAGGAGGAGGAGGTAGAAGTGTAGGAGGGGCAGGGAGGAGGAGGAGGTAGAAGTGTAGGAGGGGCAGGGAGGAGGAGGAGGTAGAAGTGTAGGAGGGGCAGGGAGGAGGAGGTAGAAGTGTAGGAGGGGCAGGAAGGAGGAGGAGGAGGTAGAGGTGTAGGAGGGGCAGGGAGGAGGAGGTAGGAGTGTAGGAGGGGCAGGGAGGAGGAGGAGGTAGAAGTGTAGGAGGGGGCAGGGAGGAGGAGGAGGTAGGAGTGTAGGAGGGGCAGGGAGGAGGAGGAGGTAGAAGTGTAGGAGGGGCAGGGAGGAGGAGGAGGTAGAAGTGTAGGAGGGGGGCAGGGAGGAGGAGGAGGGTAGGAGTGTAGGAGGGGCAGGGAGGAGGAGGGAGGTAGAAGTGTAGGAGGGGGGCAGGGAGGAGGAGGAGGTAGAAGTGTAGGAGGGGGCAGGGAAGGGGTGGTAGTAATAGTGGGGTTTGAGGTGAGAGTGGTGGTGCAGGAAGAGAGGGTGACTCAAACAACAGCTTCAGCATCTCAACTCATGCAATATTATAGGCAGAGTTGCGAGAGCGTTGTGAAGAAGTGAAATTTCTTTGATTCTTCTGAACGAATGATTTGCATTACATGCAAATCATGTTGCACGAGTCATATATTCTCTCGATATTGGAAACTATTTGAGAGAAAAACTGTCATAACATGAAAGGCCTATTGGCCCAGCTCCTACTTGCATTAAGCCACACCCATACACACATTTGTCTAATATATGCATAAATCTATGGTGACCCCGCGTCTTATGTTGCACGGTAACTGTCCTCTATTGTCCGGACTGTTATCTGTTATTGCGTCCACCGTAGTCTGTTAGAAGGACCTGATGTCCAGGCGATGGTGTCTTGTCCAGACGAATGTCCGGTGTCCTCACAAAGTGTTCAACTGCTTAACACAGACTCTGAGAAGTGCACTTCAACACGTTTGTATTCATTCTGAAACTGATGGAGACTGAATAAATAGCGGGAGTGTTTGAACATTGTTCTGAGTATACATTTGAACACTCTTCTGATGGCTTCATTTCTCCACTGGGCGAGATGCACTTTGTACGAGCACCCTTGTCCCTGGTGATTCGAGCCATGCAACTATTGTTAAGGTATACCAGCACATAATTGATGCTTATTTCAATTTTTTTAAAATATAATATTACCACCAGGGTTGACAGCGCTACAAGTCATGGTCCAGAAAGGATTCACTGTGAATGCT